TTTTTTTTTTTTTTTTTTTTTTTGGATCTCACAAGTTTTGGTTTGTTATTTTCCTTTTGATCAAATCATTGGATGATTTGTTATCTGGTTAGCTCATATAAAAAAATGCTCTGATCAGCTTTGTTATTTTCCTTTTGATGCTTATGGTTTTAATGAATTGAGAATATTGAGTGAAGCTGATTTTGTGCTCGTATCCGTCCCCGCCGGTTATCTCATTATTTTGTTTGTATTAAAATGTTCTTATGTGTGTTGATTTTGTTATTTGTAATGTAACAGACTATATTCTTCTTCTTTTTTTATTTAGATTTTTTTAGTATGCAAAAGTACTCATTTTTTCTTTAGGTTTTGCTATTATTTACTTTTCTTTCAATACCTTTTATGTCCTATTTTTGCGTTTGAAATATTTGAGAATCTAATTAGTAATCAGAATTTGAGATGCTTTCGAAAAATCTCACAAAAATGAATAAACAATACTAAACAGAGTATGTCATTTTTTCAATCCTACAAGGTACTCTCATACTGTTTTTTCGCACAAATGAGGTTTCTTTTTTTTTTCTATCTTGATTGGTGAATTTGAGATGCTTTTATTATCCGGTTCAAGTGTTTGTAAATTTAGGTGTTTGTAGCAATGGTAGATTCATCACAAGGAAATGAAAAAGTTCAGAAATACGAGATATGGACATCTGAGGAGAGTAATGAATTGCTTAGACTCATAGTTGATGCAGCCAATCGCGGATGGCGTGATAAGTCTGAAATTTGAGTAAAGTAACTGTAGAAAAACATATATTGCCCCCTCTTAATGCAAAGCTTGGAACTGAGAAGACATATTCTTAATATAAAAGTCGTGTAAAATGGTTTAAGAAGAAATACGATAAATATGCCAAGCTTATGCGACATAACTCGGGCTTTGGCTGGAATGAAGTGTCCAAGAAATTTACTGCTGATGATGAAGTGTGGGACGACTACTTTAGGGTAAGCATGTTTTATTGATAGTACTTGATATGATTAAAATATTTCATCCCATAGCGCTTAAATGACTTTTTTTTTTTTTTAATTTTACTAGTCTCATCCTGGGGATATGAGTTACAAGACAGACACTTTTTATGATTATGAAGATCTGAAAATTGCTGTTGGATGTGGAACTGCTACTGGCGCAAGTTCAATGCAATAGGCGATGATGTTGAAGAAACGACTTTTGAGACGGAAGAAAGAATGGAAAATATTAATTCCATAGATGACCCGATGCTTGACCCAGATTCTGAGGTGTTCGTTAACACTAATAACCCTCTTGACCATATGCCATTATCTCCGATGCACTCTCCACCATTCGCTCAGTTCAAAAGTTCAGAAAAACGTCCATCCGTTCGAAAGCGAAACAGAACTAATTTTGAAGCAAACCCCAAAAGCACTGCATCTGACCCTGAAAACCTCACAGAAAGTGTTAACAAGATTGTTCGTGCTCTTGTGTCTGTCGACACTAAAGAGTATAACTGTTGGGGCATTATAAAGGAGATTCCAAACTTGGACGACGATTCACGCTTCAAGGTCCTTGATTTGCTTAATACTAGAGCAAAGAAAGCAGAGTTTTGGAATATGGCACCGGAAGAACGTTTGAGATGGATTGCATATAAATTAAAGTGATATATTCTAGCTCCATGTGACATAATAAGTGGTTGATGTTTTTAACGTTGATTTTTTTACATAGCATTTGTTATGTTTCCTTAAGGATATATGCATATGGAATTTGAACTTTGTTTGGGATATTAACCAATTCAATGGTTTTTTATTTATTTATTATGTCCATGATGTTTTAAAATTAATATTAATGTTATTTGATAAGCCTTTCATACCATTGATGATGATGTTTTTTTTTCGCTCTTTCTTTTTTAGGTACTTGTATTCATATAATGTCTGATAACATGATGCATGGAGACAATGACACCATCATGGAAGAGAATGAGGAAAATGACTATGAAGAGGCTTTGCATGAAGCTAATAGGCTGTTGTGCTTGGCAATTCAAGCAATTCTCTGCTTGTTGAACGAGCATATAACCAGTTCCTCTCTTCAAGGGGCAAACCGCTCATTGGCAAGGCGACCGGTAACAAGTCATGGTCATGACTATATAAATAAAATTTTAAGAGAAGATCCAAATAACTTTCGATAAATTTATAGGATGTATCCTCAAGTGTTTCTAAAACTATCGTACATCATAAGAGAAAAAAATTTACTACAAGATACAAGGTACATCTGTATCGAGGAAATGCTTGCAATGTTCTTGCTCATCGTTGGTCAAAATAGTCGTTATTGTGTTATTCGTAAAATGTATGGCCGGTCTCATTTCATAGCAAGCCAAAATTTCAACAAGGTTCTAAAAATATTAAAAAGTCTTGCCGTTGATATGATGGTCAAGCCAGGATCTACAGTCCCAGAAAAAATAAGAGAGAGCACAAGATTTTATCCTTATTTCAAGGTAAATGGTATTATTTTTCTAATAAAGATTTTATCATTGTTATTTTTATCGTTATTTACTAAACTCTTATTATTCAGGATGCTATTGGAGCTATCGATGGAACTCATATTCCGGCAATGGTGATTGAAAAAAATGCCCCAAGTCATAGAAATCGCCATGGGATTATTTCACAAAACGTTTTGGCTGCTTGCAACTTTGATCTAGAATTCATTTATGTACTTAGCGGTTGGGAAGGTTCATCACATGACTCCAAAATACTCAGTGATGCTTTAACTAGGAAAAATGGACTCAAAGTACCTCAAGGTATGATTTTTTTCATTAAAAAAAAAAAAAAAAAA